CGCTGCCCAGGCGGGTCTCGAACCCACGGGCTCAGGCAATCCACTCACCTTAGCCTCCCAAAGGCACAGGATTACAGGCTGAGCCATCGAGCTCGGCTTTTTTTTAACATTTTTTATTTTAAAATTGTGGGGTACAGTTAAGGGTTAGGTATACAAATAAGCATTGTGCAGGTACCCTTGATGGGTGTGCCCCCCCCCAGACAGATATTGACTATCGATAATCCCACCTCCCTTCCCCTCCCTGGCCCCCATAGTTAATTCTTATGTAAGAAACCTTTTCGTGGTTCTGCTTTTTGTCCTCTTTACATGAAGTATTAGAAAGGTTGGATTTAGCTGGGCTCGGTGGCTCAGCTTGTAATCCTGTGCCTTTGGGAGGCTGAGGTGAGTGAATTGCATGAGCCCACGGGTTCGAGACCCTCCTGGGCAACTTGGCGAGACCTTATCTCTACAATAAATAAAAAATCAGCCGGGCATGGTAGCGCGCGCCTGTAGTTCCAGCTACTTGGAAGGCTGAGGTGGAAGGATCGCCGGAGCCCAGCAGGTCGAGGCTGCGGTGGCCGGGAGTGGCCACTGCACTTCAGTCTGAGCGACAGAGTGAGACTCCAACTCAAAAGAATAAATAAATAAATAAATAAAAGCTGAATTTAGTTTCACTGTTTTTTGTTAATCACTGTTTCATGGCCTATTTTCTAGTAGCATGTCTGCTTGAGGAATAGTGCTGTGCTGCCTTGCTGTTTTTTTTCCTCTCTCACAAATGCTAAAATTTAAAAAATTGCAAGAACCTTGCACATTAAAGGTCCTGACTTTCTTTCTTTTTAAAAACAGCTTTAGTGATACCTAGTTTACATACCATAAATTCTACTCATTTTGAGTACATGAATGAGTGATTTAAGTAAATTAACAGAACTGTGCAATTATTGTCACAAGATACTCTGAGAACACTTCCATCACCCCTGTATGATCTCTCTTGCTCATTTATAGTCATTCCCCATTTCCAGACATTCTGTTTGTTTCTAGGTGGCTGAAGGTCCCAAGTATTAATAGATTCAATGCTTTAAAAATAGAAATTACTAATGAGTCTCACACATAAAGTATTCCTGGAATTAGACTGTTATATAAAGAATCATGACAATGTTTAGGAAAGCTAGGTTATAGACTTTAAACTTTGTCTTACTCATTATTAATTTAGGTCAGAAACTATGTTTATTTTGGGGTCATCTGCTTATTTGAATATTTTGAAATCTATGAGTTTTATGTAGTACATTTATGTACAGGCATCAAATTCATGGCTATTGAATGCCAGGCACTGGACTTTGCTGTTGTCATTCCTGTACTTCTGTGACCATAATATAGATAATATAGTCACTGGCAGTGTTGTGAGAGGACTGTGAACAGTATATTGTGGTTACAGGTAGATTGTCTTCAAGAAAAAGCTGCACAAAGGTTGTGTGGCAGTTTGATATGGAAGACAAAGGTTGGGAGATATGCTGAGTAACAATCAGGAATTTCTTACACAATCTGGTACCTTGTAAGTTGTCATAAAATGTAAGTGCCATCAAATTTTGTGAATCACAGGGAATCATCCCTTGTATGTTTTTCACCTTTCTGAAGAATTCATACCATTGTGTTCTCTTTTGATCAAGTGACATAATTCTACAGTGCCATCAAAACTCTACTTGTTTTGATGTTTGTGTAGCTTATAACTATTATTTAGATGATTTTATTTTCACCTGCTGAAGTAGGTAATACAAAATTTACTTGAACAGTTTACCTTGTTGTTTCCAAATTTTCTCTACTGGAAACACTGGGGAAGAGTCTTACTGGAAATTTTTACATTGTTAAAATTATGATTGTATCAGTTTAAAAAAAATTACTATGATTCTTTTATGTCTGAATCCGAATTCTTACTCAGAACTAATAATTTTTGTGTCATCGTTTAATTAGAATAGTCAGCACTTTGAGACCTTTACAATTCTGGCTAGATTTGGCCATCACATTTATTTATTTATTTATTTTGAGTCAGAGTCTCACTCTGTCACCCAGACTGGAGTGCAGTGGCTACTCCTGGCCACTGCAGCCTCGATCTGCTGGGCTCCAGCAATCCTTACGCCTCAGTCTTTCAAGTAGCTGGAACTACAGGCGCGTGCTACCACATCCGGCTAATTTTTTAATTTATTGTAGAGATGAGATCTCACCAAGTTGCCCAGGCAGGTCTCGAACCCGTGAGCTCAGGCAATCCACTAACCTCAGCCTTCCAAAACACTGGGATTACAGGCTGAGCCACCTAGCCCGGCTTGGCTATCACATTTAATAGCACTTTCTAAGGTAATGTGGAAAATGACACCTTTTTTTTTTTTTTTTTTTTTTTTTGAGTTGGAGTCTCACTCGGTCGCCTGCTGGGCTCTGGCGATCCTTCTGCCTCAGCCTTCCAAGTAGCTGGAATTACAGGCATGTGCTACCACGCCCGGCTGATTTTTTGATTTATTGTAGAGATGAGGTCTCGCTGCCCAGGTGGGTCTCGAACCCGCGGGCTCAGGCAATCCACTCACCTCAGCCTCCCAAAGGCGCGGGGTTATAGGCTGAGCCACTGAACCCAGCTTGGAAAATGACAACTTATTGTTATAATGCATGTTTGATTACAGTGATGCATAGGATGATGAATTTTGATCAATGATGGATTGCATATGTGATTCCATAAGATTATATTTTAATATTTTACTGTAAATTTTTTATGTTTAGATACACATGTAATTGTGTTATCTACAATATTCAATGCAGTAACATGTTGTACAGTATTGTAACCTAGGAGAAATATTTATGCCTTGCAGCCTAAGAATGGTTGTAGGTTATACTCTAGATTTATGTTAGTACACTGATGTTTGCACCACGAGGAAATCACCTAATGCATTTCTCCTAATGTATCCCCATCAAAGCAATGCATGACTTTACTAAGTAAGTTTTCCATGTGAGTCTGTATATGTGTTCAGTAGTTGTGTGTCCCCTTTTGACACAGGAAGTCTTAAGTGGGCTCATGACACGTTTAGTCCTTGGTGAGGAAGGATTAACTAGAATCATGGAGGGGCTTTAGGGAGAAGAAGGAACACTGCCATTAAAAACATTAAGGTGTTTCAGTCAGGGAATAAAAAGTTTGAATGAAGGAGCAACTTAAATGTCACAGAGATGGCTTAGTATTAATTTTAGAATAGAGAGTGAAGCACCATGTTAAATAAGGATGGAAATTAAAATATTACTTTTTTAGAAAATGAAGCTTATTTTGTGAAACATTTAAGAACTGATAGGTAAAATAAAATTCAGTGAGTCTCATCAGTCCTAGATGTGACAAATGTGGGAGTTAGAATAGGGAAGTTTGGTAGTCACATGGTGGGTATTGGAGTATGAGAGGAAGGATGTTTGAACATGTTTATTGTACTGATTTTTTTTTTACAGAATTATAGATTGCAGTGCAGCTATAACATGCTTTCCTCTGCAGGCTCTATCTACTGTTTGAAGCTTCTGTCCAGCTTGCATTATTTCTAGGAGAACCTGCATCATACCTTTATCTGTAGCCTTCCCCTAGGTCTTAACAAACACGAAATTTTAACAGTGGACGTTGGATTTGGTGGAACAGCAATCATGGTAAGCAGAACTTTAATTAAGGCAGTGGGTTGAGGGGCTGCTGCAAGGGCCCAGAAGAATAATTTGCCAGCATGTGGCAATGATTTTATGTTCTCAATGTGAGAAATAAGGATACATCGTTGGAGATGGATTTTCATTGGATTGAGTAACAACTGAATGGTTTCTCAGTAAAAAATTTAGGAAACAATCTTGTAAACTGTTTTATGATGTGATAAGATATAGGGGTTTATTATTGCAGATGGGAGACTCTTGGGTCAGATTATAGTAGACATAAATATCAATTTAGAGGTTTGGACTTGCTTAGTACAGAAGAAAGCAGTCTGGGGAGAGAGACCACCCTAAACAGAGACCTCTGTGATCTTAAAATTTTGTTTAGTTAAGGGAGTAAGCAGTTTAGAGCATGTGTTCTCAAAGAGAAGGATGCTCATCCCTAAGGGGATGGAAATTGGTTCTTGAGATAATGGGAAAAAACAACAACAACAACTTAATGCGGCCTTTCTCCAAAGGGCCACATGACATTAATAGAGATGCAGTATGTCTACAAATTAACATTTCAGAAGAATGAGCAATTAGAATAAAATTCTAAAATGGTGCTTAGGGAAACAAATGAAAGAAAAAGAGAAACAATGATCCAGAGTTGTGAATAATTGGGTGTGGGTATGATGGAACTGACAGGCCTTTGAAGAACTATGAAGTGTAGTGTTTTGTGCTTACGTTGGGTTGGTGGGAGTTCCAGAGTTTTTAATGGAGGTAGGTATTTGTCCAGGAGAATAGAAATAGTTGTAAAGGGTCAAGAAGATTTGGAAGTGGATTAGGAAGTGGGGTTTTGGATTAACATTGGGAAAGAAAAAGGATTAAAGTGACAACTTTAAAAGGGAACTGGCTTAGGGATCTCCCTGTAAGAAGAAATATAATTATTTATGGTGATAGGTAAACTACCCAGGGTTTTGAGAAGTAGAGGGTTTATTTAGAGGAGTATAGTGTTCTTAATCAAAATTTGTTCAGTATATTGAGTTAAGTGTGAGGGAATGTATTAGCTGAAAAAGGTAGGAGAGGAGATTAGTTAAGAAAACCAGGTCTGGATTGGTATAGGAGTAGGAGAAGAAATTGGAGAAGATTAGAAAACCAGGGTATAGGTGAGCTGAACATTGACTCTCATCTTAACTGTTTCCAGACTGTGGGCAAGAGTAGCAAGATGTTGCAGCACATTGACTATAGAATGAGATGTATTCTGCAAGATGGTCGAATCTTCATTGGCACCTTTAAGGCTTTTGACAAGCATATGAATTTGATCCTCTGTGACTGTGATGAGTTCAGGAAGATCAAGTAAGGGTGGTTTGGGTAATGGGGGTGGAAGCAGAAGCAATGAGAAGGAAAGGTCAGAGGATTATAGGGGATTATAGAGGATAATTGAAGTAGGTAGGGAAAGTATGGCAAGGTCAATTTATTGTATAATCTCATGGCCTGATACTTAAATTAGGCCAGATTCTTTCCATTCAAAGTATTTTACATTAGCAAAAACAATCATGGATTTACTGGTAATAAAAACTTGCAATATGATCAAAATATCAAGTTATATTTGTTTGAAAAATTAAGAAACAATTGACTGGTTTGCTTCTGCAACAGTCTTTTGTACTGAAATTTTTATTGAAATACAAAGTAACAATTATCCTTCCTGATTGCAAAGCTAGGGTATGGTTATCATGTGGTATCCCCTCTTTGTCTATTGCTGTTCCCATTCTTTATTTCAGTTCTGTGTCATATGTCATTAAGATTTTATTATTTGGCCGGGCACAGTGGCTCACACCTAATCCCAGCACTTTCGTAGGCCTAGGTGAGAGGATTGCCTGAGCCCACGGGTTCAAGACCAACCTGGGCAACTGGGCGAGACCTCATCTCCACAATAAATTAAAAAAAATAACCAGATGTGGTGGTGCATGCCTGTAGTTCCAGCTACTTGGAAAGCTGAGACAAAAGGATCGCCTGAGCCCAGCAGGTTGATACTGGGGTGGAAGTGAGCATGCCACTGCCCTCCAGCCTGGGTGACAGAGTGAGACTCCAACTCCAAAAAAATAATATTATTATTTAAACAATTTTCAAAAAATTTCAGCATAACATGAAAACTGAGATTTCAATTTTGCTTGTCCTAAAAGGTTTAAACATGCCATTTTTCAAAAAAGCAGTTTTGCTCTAGTGTGATATCAAGGGAACTTGCTAGAAAATAATGAAGTTTGGTAGAAAAAGCTTTGCCATTTACTCCTGTATATATACTGAATGTACAGGGTTTTTCTTTCTTTCGTTTTTTTGTTGACAACTCAGTAACTTTAAATGATATCAGTTATTATCTTAATTGATACTTGATAGTATTCTAAAATATTTTGATGAGTGAGTGATCTAGAGATTTATCTCACTAAAATTTACTTCTGATTTGTAGGCCAAAGAATGCGAAGCAGCCAGAGCGTGAAGAAAAGCGGGTTTTGGGTTTGGTGTTGCTGCGTGGAGAAAACTTGGTATCCATGACTGTAGAAGGGCCACCTCCAAAAGACGTAAGGAAGATATTTGAGCAGGGCAGAACTTTAATGTGCAAGGATATCATATTATTTGAGGTGTCTGAAATTAGGGCACAACACAAAGCATAGATAGTAAACATTTATCAAGTAAAATGCACCTAGCATTTAATGTCAGTTCTTGGTTGCCTATACCTTTAGAATTTTGGGATGAATTATTCTATGTGCCGGGCATTAGGTAAAGGTAGGCGTTAATAATTTAATTTTGCTTGGCATGTTTATAAAAGTATATGTCTCCACAGTTTGACAGATGCACACATTTTATACCCAGTGTGCCTCTCTGGTACGCTTATTTATTCGTTTAATACAGAGATAATATGAGATAGATGGCATAGAAAAATGGTGAAGAGTGTTCTTTGGTGAATAACGCCTCTGAGAACATAGGTGAGTTATTTGGTTTTAAGCTATGAATTTTCTTTTTTCAGACTGGCATTGCTCGGGTACCTCTTGCTGGAGCAGCAGGAGGCCCTGGGGTTGGTAGGGCAGCTGGGAGAGGAGTACCAGCTGGTGTACCAATTCCCCAGGCACCTGCTGGATTAGCAGGCCCTGTCCGAGGAGTTGGGGGACCATCACAGCAGGTGAGGAACCAGAAGAGATATTTAAATATCTAAATGTACATGTCATACTATGTAAATGGCATATAGTCTAGAAGGAACTGATGGACAAATATAAGGAAGAAGGGAATAAAATAGCTCCCTAAAAAGTCTTGCATGATTGTGGTTATCTGATAAAAGTAACTTACCACTATTTCTTGGTGGGTAAAGACAATTTGTATGGATATTCCAGAGTTGGGAAAAGGCAAAAGGACTTAGTTATTAGTGTGCCAAGATAGTTTATAAATATGGAAATAATGAGAGTTGTAAAATTGCATTTGTTATTTTTTTAATACGTCGTATTTCTTATTTATTTCCTGTGTTTAAATAATGTGAAGATAAGCCTCACTTTTACTGTTCTGGCCATGCCTTCTCAGGTAATGACTCCACAGGGAAGAGGTACTGTAGCAGCTGCTGCTGTTGCTGCTACTGCCAGCATTGCTGGAGCACCAACACAGTACCCACCAGGACGGGGGACTCCACCCCCACCTGTAGGCAGAGCAACCCCACCTCCAGGTAAGGGGTTGGTGAACAAGAAGAATAATTTTTTAGTCTGGTGAGAGATTATATCATCTTGAGAAAGTAATGATTAAACATAACTCTGGATAAGAAGATAACCTATATATAGCTTAATTGTCTAAATAGCAATTTGGGGGATTTGCTTCCCTCTTCCAGATACTGGTTTTTAATGAAAGACTATGGACTCTTTTGACTTGGGGATGATGTACAGGAGTAAGGTCAAACAAATTATTGGACCCTCTCATTGTTGTCTGGGTCCATTTCTTTAATGATTATTTGGGCTAAATTTTGACAACTTTCCTTAGATGATTTATAACGACTTTATTTCTGTGATTTTTGTAGGTATTATGGCTCCTCCACCTGGTATGAGACCACCCATGGGCCCACCAATTGGGCTACCTCCTGCTCGAGGGACACCAATAGGCATGCCTCCTCCAGGAATGAGGCCACCTCCACCAGGAATTAGAGGTGAGTGGGAGCATAGGAGCTCAGTGGTTAATCCAGACCCCTAAACATTTATATTCTATTTTCCTAACTGTTTCTGTTTCCTTTCCAGGTCCACCTCCCCCAGGAATGCGTCCACCAAGACCCTAGGATACTGTTGATCCATCTCAGTCACTTTTTTCCCTGCAATGTGTCTTGTGAAATTGTGTAGTGTTTGTGAGCTTTTTGTCCCTGTTTTCTGCATTAATAATAGCTAAAAATAAATGCATAGAGCAATTAAACTGTGAGGTACTGTTGTACATTTTTTTTGCCTATTGATTTTGTTGAAGTCAGTGTGAAAATTGGGATTTTTGGGGTCTTGAAGTTACTATGGGTGAGGTGAATCCTATTAAGCACTTCATTCAGATTATTTTATCTTTAACTCTTAGGCTAAAATGGTTGTGATGGTTGGTTATGCTTCATAACTTTCACTTTGTGCATTGAATAATGTTGGTTAATAACCTTTACAAATATGAAAGCTTGTGAGCAGGGGTTTAAGTAATTGTAATGCCTCACACATGGCCTCCTGATTTTTACTTTACTATGCCACATTAGTGGAAGGGAAGTAGGAATAGATGAAAAGCCTTGTAAGGCCACCTATATATACTAAAGGAAATTGTGATACTCATTCAACCATAGCATTTGGAATTGGAGAGTTAATCCATTCTTGGGAAGTTTACCTCAGTTGATCAACTTTTACAGTGCTGTGTGATCAGAGTAAAGGATCTGATACTGGAATAATCATTCTCTACTGATGAGTAAGTATTCATTTATAAGTTAATAAAATGAGTGCCAGGGTCTGGATCCCGGGAGGTCAGAGGTTGTATGTTTGAGATAATAAATTGTATTACTTAATACAGATAAAACATAATTGGCACACTAAAGTACAAATTATTATTATTATGCCCAACTGTACCACTTAGTGATGTGCTGGAAGTGGTGAGGAATAAAAAGATCACTTTGAGCTACATCGCTAAGGAATGCCTAAGTATCTAGGTTCAGTCCGAGTTGGTTATGGAACAAAGTCATTTTTAGAAGGGAAGATAAATGAGATTTTTAGGTTTTGCTGCTAAAATTTCAACTATGAAGTGAGTGAATTTTCCATATTTATTGTAGGAGTTAGTCAAGTACTACTGTTAGAGATTGGTGTTAATGATACTGGTAGATTGATTGGTATTATTTTCCATTTTAAATTTACGAGCAGTAGTTGTATTTGTCATCTTGTTCCATCTTTTAAATCACGTCCTTGATAGTGGTAGCTGCCTAAAAAAAAAAAGCAACTGTCAAAGTGACTACAGTTGCTGTCACCAACTTTATATGGCTTCTGCTAGAGTAGTTTATAGGATTGATGGCACTCACCTGGGAGTGAGGAGTATAAAGGAGCCAAACACTAATTGGCTTAGGAGATTTATGTAATAGAGCTGTGACATCATTTTTTTCTGAGTTTATAAGTGGTAAAAAAAACTTCTTGATTTACCAAAGTTCCTACTAAGGTACTTTATCTGGGTCTCTGGAGGCAAAGTAATTCAGTTCAGATAAATTAACTAACAAGACAGTCTGTTTTAATCTAAAAGATGACCTGTGTTTTCTGCCCTGTCTAATCTGTGAATTTCTAATTGTGACAGTTTGTGTTTTTTTTGGCTGTTCGAGGGGAAATATTTCTCCTTCCGTAGATCTGCTGGTGTGGATGGCCCTTAGATATTGGCATGAGTGATTATGCAGCATATTTGAAAACAAACTGTTTTTAATACAGCTAAAGATGGCCTGTTTTGCAAATTAAAGGTAAGTTATAAGAACTCTAGGTTCTGCAAGATGCTTGCTTCAAATTGCTATTTTGTTTATTGATGATCCTGTTTTATTTTGCCTAGAGGTACCTGGACTTTTTGAGAGCCCTGAGTATTTGTAGAATATATAATATTGTAGAAGAAAACTTGGGAAATAGATTTAAATAGAACTGAGAGGGGCATAAGGTTGGTGTTTGATTTTTTTGTTATAGAGTGCTAGATCCAAGCTTCAACATTCCACTAGGGATTAATATCAACGTGCTTACTAGTCTTCAAACATTCTTGGTAGTAAATGCTTGGTGTTGAATGGAAATCACCCATATTATGTTATTCGAATGAATACATGTCTCATCTAAAACATTATTGGGCAACAACTTTCTAATTTCCTGATATACATATTTTATAAATCTAACTCCATTAATGCATATTACATTTGATACATGCTTTTATTGTGGTTTATAGAACAGTTCCAAATAGAATTTTTGGATTTAGTACTTAAAATAGGTTATGAAGTATTGGGAGATAGTCTGGATTTATATTATAGTTATACTGGATTTGGTATTGAAAGGATTTTGAAAGTTAATTAAGGGAGTTCCTTGATTTTGTGAACTCAGTTCTTATTTGATGTCAAATTGTAGAATTCGTGTGACTAATATACTGGTGTTTTGCTTCTTACATGTTCTTATAATAGAATATTATATGTAGAAACTGATTTATATAGGTAATTATGTGATAATAGTGCTACCTGTCTACAGTTTTCATAGTTTTATTTTAAAGATTAGCAAAAATATACTTTCCCTTGTACATTCACCTCAGATACAATCTTCACAGATTTCAGCAAGTAGTCATAGTCTTAATGGGCTGAAATTTTCTAATGCATGCTAGTTGATAATGCATTGCTAGATTCTGTTTTACTCATTTGTATTCCAATTCCCTTGAACATAATAATGTTCAATATGTTTTATGAAATAAAGCAAGGTATATTTGTAGGATTTTTGTAAGTCATCTTACAAATGACATCTGAACCTGAAATAGGATATTTCTGTTGCAATTTTTTCAGTTCCATGTGATACCACTTAGCTAATGACTCTGAAAGGAACATTTTGGTCACTGCATTTTTTGATGTGTCGTCAGTGTGGATTCTACTCAGTAGTGTTGGAATGAAGCTGAAAATCATATTAGCTGCTTTTAGGACAGAAACAAACCGCTCAGGTAAAATAACCTTGCAAAGGAAAGTAAGAATATATTGCAGAGGCCTTGGCTAGGTTTGTGATGATACAGGACCTTGTCTGAACATAATGATTTCAAAATTTGAGCTTAATATGACACTGAAATCCAGTCAATGTGCCTCACTAGACTTTCAGATTTCAAGATTTTCTGCTGAAAATCTTGACTTAACATGAGAAAACTTTGAATATTTATAAATGGCAGGTGTAGTATTAACACTTTGCTAGTTGCTCAGATACCTGTTTTTATTTTCACAGATAATGCTGAGCTTTTTTTCCCCTTTTTTTCTGCACTTTGTATGTTATTGAAAGCTAAAAGGAAACTTATCCTTGGATCGCAGAAGGCCACAGATGCTTGGTGAAATGGAAAAAAGGATATGTAAAAAAGTGCCAGAGTTCTAGGGTTCTAAATGATGTCCAGGAAGGAGGAGGAATAATGTTTATGGAGCATATGTTACAGAACACAGTGAGTATGGTATGTGCCTTCATGTGAATGTCATTGCTATTTTAGGACAGTTCATTTTAGGACAGTATGTGTTTTTCTTCTGTTGTCAGCAGTTGACCACCTGTATAGGGTCCTTCACACAGCAGATGATTAAGAAATACCAAGTCAGCAAATGTGCCAGCATTACTAATTTTTTCTTTAAAGAGACAATATCTCACTTTGTTACCAAGGCTGGAGTGCAGTGGCATAGTAATAGTTCACTGTAGCCTCAAACTTCTGGACTCAAGTGACTGAGTAACTGAGACTACAACTATGTGCCATCACACCTGTTTTATTAAAAATATATATATGTAGATGTAGTGTTTTGCTGTGTTTTCAAGGCTCATTTTGAATTCTTGTCCTCCAGCATTCTTCTCACTTTCGCCTCTCAAAGTGCTGGGATTTCAGACATGAGCCACTGTGCCCAACACTAATTTTTGTTGTTGTTGTTGTTAGAAAGCAGGCTTTTAGATATCTCACAGTTTCTTTATTTGTGTTTTTCCTTCATATTTTCCCCCTAGTTCTTTGCCAATTGAATGATGTTGGTGTTTTATAAGCATTGTCACATAAAGCTGATCATTCTTTCTGGCTAGGGACTGTCCCATGGGTAGAGATGTACTATTTTCAGTTATTAATCCTTTTATATAATTGTACGAGTTGTGGGGAAAAATATTAGGAAAGTTCTTGGCTGGTTATATGATGAGCTGTGTTTGAACATGATGACATGTAAAACTCAGGGTAATTGCTCTGAAGTCCAGCCTGAGTATCAGTATAAAGGTTCAGGACACATATTCTGAGCATGAGTTTTTAGACTGTAAATGTTACAAGGTTTTTCCCATCAATACTGTGCAGGCTAAGGAGAATGGAACTCTAGGGTTTTTTTTTCCCCAGTGAAATAGAGGGAAATTGTTTCTAGATTCATTAATACAGTTTCCTTTTGTAGAGTATCTTGTATGTTCATAGCTTTGTTACATCTTACCTTTGTTGTTTCCTCTGCATTTCAAGTGATAGCTTTAAGAGAGTCGTTTTTTTAAGCCAGTCAAATTTAGCAGTGGAGGGTTGTATACCAACTTTTGTGACACTAATGTTAATAATAAGTTCTGATAACCAACTACCATCGAAGCAGCTGCTTTTTTTTAAACCCCATTACTAGCATAACCTAGTTCCAATCTTGTATGAAGTTTTCACGAGTATGTTTGTGATCACTGTGCGGCAGCTTCCCCATTTGCCACATAAATGAGAAATCACTAGTTTGTTGGCAAGCCATTGCTTTGGTTTAAGGTATGACTTTATTTAATTTACATTTTAGCAGAACGCTAAAGTTACATTCACAGGCTTTAATTCTCTGAAGTAACCACGTTCTGTATTTTGGCAAGATATATGGAAAATTAGAAGCTTTGTCTCTTAGTGATTTAGTTAAAGGGATGAAATTCGCATTTTGAAGTTTTTGATACTCAGCACCAGAGAGATGATATATTTTGAGAAATGCCATACATTTCTTGAATTTCTCCTGTAATCTCACATTATTCTACACTCTGTTTTTGCTGGTATGAATAATAGGTCATTTGTTGTCTGTGATTGACATTCAATGATTAGGTGTTTGTGATTTGCTTATAGTAGCTTTAATAAGGGAGCAGTAGTGAATAAGGTAATTTAGAAAAGATTGTATAAAAAATAGACCATGGACATGGAATATAGCAAGATCTTTTTCTCCAGTAGTTATCTTAATTAGTTGAAAGTGTATGTGTGTTATC